TTAGCTGTCCATGGCTGTCCTTGACCTCTGCACCAGGTCCTGCCCCACTTCCCACCTCACCTCCATCCAGAGGGTTCTGCATGGACTGTCAGACCATGCTTGTCCAGCCAAGCCCTTTGAAGGGTTGTTTGCATAAGACAAACAGCCTGCAGATGGAAACAACATCCTTCAGAGGGAAAGGAGGGCACAGGGGGGCTCTTCATCCTGAGGAACCTGAGAAAGACATCCCTCACCCTGCCAGTGGAGCAGCAGCACCACAAAGACTCCTCCTGGCTCCTCCAGACCTTCTCATCTTTTGACAGCCAGCCTCTGTGCCTCTGTCAGATGGGAAAGGAGAGGAAATACCTCTTGTGACAGAGCTGACAAAACACCTCAGGTCACATTCTGCCTTCACTGATGTAAACCAGCCCTGTATTTATGTACCAAGGAGCACCTCGTTTGCAATAAAGACATCAGGTGGGGACACTTCTGCTTGTCTTTATCCCTTTGCCCAAATAATTTCTCCTAAAAATTAAAAATTAAAAAAAAAAAAAAAAGAAAGGCTTGTTTGTCTCCTCAGCTGACTTTGTTGTGAGTTCCAGCCCCTCAATCTAAGAGCGTTGATGTGCCCAGGGCGGATTTCGTACTGATGACATGTCACAAAGTATTTCATTTGCAATTCTCTCTTCCACACTGTGCCAGGACAAAAACGAGCCCTTTTGTTTATTTATTTGTTTCCTTATTTATTTATTTATTATTTTGATGACTGTTTGAACCATCACAGTTTCTGAAAGGACTTTACTGCAGCGATCAGGAACACCCAGGGTTGGCTGGGACCTGATTTACCTGCCCCAACAATCCATGGCAGGGACTTTCCTCCTGTTTACCCCCGTCCATCTTATCTCCTGGAAGGCTTGTGGGGTTGCTGGTTAAACCACCACAGACAAGGCAAACACAGGGATTGTGCAAACAGCCAGCACGTTTCCTGACTCGGTGGACAAACAGTATCTTCGTTTCTAGTTGCTGGGTAACACCAAACATCCACAGATTCCCCCTCAAAGGGCTCTGCGGGGCTCACAAACTCACCCTGCTCTTGCTGCAGGGGTGGACACCTTGAGGGGCTTGTTGGGGCAGATTGGGGGAGGGGGGGAAAGGTGAGCGAGAGGTTGAAATGCAGAGGATGTAACAGCAAAATAGCTCTGTGAGTTGTCCCTGTAAATGCCATTATGGTACAATAATTAAGCCTAAGGGGATACTTACAATCAACACCCTCCCTGCACTTATTAGAGGCACAAAGACCTCGGAGAAGGAATTAGGAAAAAGGACCTAAATGAAAATACTCCCAGCACAAACACAGGAAAGCCCAGCTCTCCCTCCCGTTTGCCCTGCATTCCCGAGGATTGAAGGGGCAGAACAATGGGGTGTCCCTGTGTCCCTCTCCTCACTTCCTTCCCCTTCCCAGGGCTGGTCAGATCCTACAGGGCAGTGCAGTGGGGATGTACCTCCCACCAGCTCTGCTGCCACACACAGAGAGACAGACAGACAGACAGACAGACAGCATCCAAAATACTCTGACACCTCTGAGAAGGCTCCAGGGAGACCTCAGAGCCCCTTCCAGGGCCTAAAGGGGCTCCAGGAGAGCTGGAGAGGGACTGGGGACAAGGAATGGAGGGACAGGACAAGGAGGCTCCCACTGCCAGAGGGCAGGGTTAGATGGGATATTGGGAAGGAATTCTTCCCTGTGAGGATGGAGAGGCCCTGGCACAGGTTGCCCAGAGAAGCTGTGGATGCTCCATCCCTGGAAGTGTCCAAGGCCAGGTTGGAGCGACCTGGACTAGTGGGAGGTGTCCCTGCCCATGGCAGAGGGTGGGAATGGGATGATCTTTAAGGTCCTTTCCAACCCAAACCATCCTGGAATTATGTGATTCTCTATTAGGTAGGAATAAGTTATCCTGCGATCCCAAAAAAGAGCCATTTCTGGATCACCAGGAGGGCTCAGGCAAGTGTTTCTCCCAAAGCAAAGACTTGCCACCTGTGAGCCTGGGAAGAGGAAAAGGGACTTTTCTCTACCTGCCCTGTCTCCTGGAGGAGGGTGATGCTCCATGCTGTGTTTAAGGACTGTTCACCCCCTTCCATCTGCTCCCTCTCTCAGGGGAAGCTGCAGCATCTCCTTCTCTGTCCATCCCCACCAAAATATCAAAGCAGAGTCTCCTCTGAGACTTTCACCTGCTGCCCTTTTGCATCCCCAGGTCTTCAGTCTCCAATTTCCCTGCCAGAAAACCAAACTGGCCCTTCTGGAGGAATTTTCCCCTTCCACAATCATGTAAGGAAAGGCTTTCAGGACGTGGTGTGAGATCTGCCTATGCCTAAAACTCAGCCCTGCTTTAAAGCTGAGCTGGGTCCTAAAGGAGCAGCTAAAAACTGAGTCCAAAGGGTTTTAATGAGGGTTTTTTTATAGGTGCATCGTTTGGGAATGAATGTGGCTGGATCCACCTGAGGAATCACAGCAGAAATCCCCCAGCCATAGCACAGGGAGATATCTAAAATAGCTTTGAGCATTCAAGGCTCTAAGCATGGGATAAGGAACTTTTAAATCTGAAACCAACTTTCCCCATCCAAAATTGCACCTCTTTTCCTAGAAGCTGTCTGGGACTTCATGTTAAATTCCCTTCCATCAGCTGCTCCCTAGATTTTTTTTTTTTTTTTTTTTTTGACACTGCACAGCCTTGAGCAGCCAAATCGCTGCTGGCAGGGGGGAAGGAAGGTCCTTCTGCTCATCATTCCTCTTGGAGGTGGCTTGGAAATGAAACCTTCCCCAGCCCTGCATCCTGGTGGGAGCCTGTGTTGGATCCAACTGGCCAAGTCACAGAAATATGCCGAAAATGTGCAGACTCCGATTCTTTTGGAGGCTTTTGCTCAGCAAAAAGGATGTGGAAAGCAAATGCCTGGCTGACACCGGGAGCAGCTGCAGTGGAACCTCACGACTTGGAAGGATATTTTCAGTGCCAGAAGAGAATAGTTTTCTCTTGATCTTACAAATGGTTGAAGCCTTTTCTGCTGAAATTAAAAGGAGACAAAACACGAGGCACAAACCCAGGGACGTGTAGGGTCTGGCATGGGGTCTGACCCATGGCCATGTCTTGAAACGCCTGCATCTGCCCCATCTGCCCCTGCACATCCACCCTCCTGCCTGCAGAGAACACAGCCTAAAGTTCTGCATGGCCCAGGCAGCAAATCAAATGCTCCTACAGGATGTACTTCCATCCGGATTTAAGATAATCACAGCTCTGAGAGCCTTGTGATTCTGAAAAGTCTGCTGTCAGCAGTGCTGGAAGGAGAAGCACTTGGCAAAGAGCTGCCAGGATCCTCTGCTGTGCCCGGGCTCATCACTTTGGATCAGCCCCTGTATCCTGATCTTTCAGCTCCAGTGTTTTCCTGCAGGCAGCTTCCCTGCTGGTGGGGGAAAAGAGAGACAGTTGCCAGTGACCTCTTGGCTAAGTCTGGCTGAGTAAAGAGGAGCCTGGCATCTGTCTCACACTTGCTTGTTATTTTGACAGCATATCCCCTTCTTCTGAACTGCTCGGACCGTGCACTCCCTCGGGGCTGGGCCAGAAAAAGTGGAAAATGGCCAATTTGCAGAAAGAAACCCTGAGGCCGTTGCTCTCAGCTAAATCTTTTGTCACCTTGCATCAAGAAGGGCAAAGGATTCCCAGGCAGGACACAGTTCAGTGTTGCCTCAGTGCTGGGCAGGCCTGGGCATCCTCCTCACCCCGAGTGACCCGTGGTGTTGCAATGTGAAGAAAACAGGTCCTGAGCACGGAGCAGATCCAACAGAACACTCCTCCTTTCCCCAAACTGCTCCGACTTGAGGACCCCACACCAGGGTGGCCTCAGCCTGGAGATCAGGTCCAGGGTGCAGCTCCACACCTGGGAGTTCAGGACCTGATGGAGGAACGAGTGCAGGTGATGAAAGGGGACGGAAAAAGAAAGGACGGGTGAGTTGGAAGGGGCAGGAGAAACCAGGAGGCTGCAAAGCCTAAACCGGAGCCTTTTTATCCACCTCCATCCACCCACGTGGGAACAAAATATCCCTCCCATCCCATCCCTCTTTGAGACTGGATTGCCTTGGATATAAATACCCCAGGAATAGAAATATGAATGATGTGACCACTCTGCTCGTGCTGCCAAGCGGGGATTTACTGGTGCCCAGTTGACAGCGGCCCGGGGGCCATATATTTGCTCCAACTTGTGGAGGTTTTCCAGGTCAGATTTTTATTTTCATTCCACTCTGAATGTGTGTGTGGATGTACATGTTGCTCCCTGGGAGGGACAACATCCATATATCGCAGTTGAGGGGAGGAAGATGGATGGTGAAGGGGAGGTGACGGGTGATGAAGATGTGAGGAACTGCCAGAGGGCAGGGTTTGATGGGGTGTCGGGAAGGAATCCTTGGCTGTGAGGGTTGGGAGGCCCTGGCACAGGTTGCTCTAAAGAAGCTGTGGCTGCCCCATCCCTGGAAGTGTCCAAGGTTGGACGTGGCTTGGAACAACCTGGTCTAATGGAAGGTGTCCCGCGGGTGGAACTGGATGAGCTTTAAGGTCCCTTCCCACCCAACCCATTCCCGGGTGCCCTCTGCCCTTTGGGCGCTCAGCATTCCCGAACCCCATCCACAGTTCCAATCACCCCACGGCTTCCCCAGGTCTCCCAGAACCGAGCTTTGGGACAGCCCCGAGCGGGAGGGACAGGGGAAGGGGCCGGCGCGGGGAGCGGGGAGGTTTCCCTTGCCAGGGGTGCCCTTATCCCGCAGCCGGGCGCATCCCCCAGGGACACCCCAAAACCAGCTGCGTGATCGGGCACAGCCTTCTGCCCCTTCCTCCTCCTCTCCTTCCTCCTCTCCTTCCTCCTCCTGCCTGCTGCTGCTGCCGCTGCCGCTGCCGGGGCGGAGCCGCCGGAGCAGCGCCCGCCCCGCTCGGGGAGCGGAGCCGAGCCGGGTGCGGGGACGGGGACGCGGCGGTGGCAGCTCCGTCCGTCCGTCCGTCTGTCTGTCCGCCCGTCTGTCCGCCCGTCTGTCCGCCCGGCCGCCGCCCCATCCCACCCTGTGCCGGGGCACGGCCCCCCCCGCGGCCTCGGCGGGCCAGGGGCACCCCGTCCCCTGGGGCTGGGCGAGCTGGAGGATTCCCCAGCGGCAGGTAAAGGGTGGCACTGGGAGCACTGGGAGCACTGGGAGGGGGCTTTGGCATCCCTCGCCCCCCTCCCCCTTCCCTTTTGGGGTGCGCGGTGCCCCCGGGGTGGGGGGACGATGCTGAGCCGGGGCGGGGGGGGGAGGAAGTGTTGGGTGTGTGACAGACGTGTTGGTTTGACCCCCAAAAAGTGCTGCGTTGTTTCTTTGCCCCTAAAGGTGGTGTTGTTTTTTTTCCCCATTTCCCAAAGGTGTTTCTTTGCCCTCAAAGGTGGGTGTTTTCCCCACTCCCAGAAGGTGTTTCTTTGCCCACCAAATGTGGATTTTTTTTTCCCATTCCCCAAAGCTGTTCCTCTGCCCTCTGTGCCCCTCAAAGGCTGTGTGGCCCCCATGGGTGCCTCACCTGGCCAGGAGCATCCCAGGCAAAGTTGGGATGTGATGGGGGACTGTGGGTGGGCACCCACCTGGTGACAGGTGCCAGGGTGCCCCTTGTGGTCTCTGAGACCCCCCCCAGTTATCAGGGTGTGAATCTGCTCCCCTGCTTTTCTCTCCAGGCCCTACTTGTTTGCCAGGGAATGCTTCATTTTGATGTAAAATCCTGGCATCTGCAGTGTCCCACAGTCCCAGGGCTTGTCCAGAGCCCTAAAATCCTGAGGCAGCAAAATCCCAAGAGGGATTTATTGTTGCTTGCCCAGCTGGAGGAGCACCCAGTGCCCCATCCAGCACCCACAGTCTCCCAGCATCCCAGGAGGATGCTCAAGAATGGCTCCTGGGGGACATCCCCCGCAGCAAAGCTGCTGTTAAACACCCCAAATTTTTCAGCCAGAGGGGGTGAAAAAGGGTGAATGTAGAGGGTGGTATTTTGATGCTTGGCAAAGAAACTGCTCAGGAAAAGGAGTAATTCAGGAAAAAAAAAGCGGGGGGGAAATAATTTCATTGGTGTTTTATTGAAGCTCTCACCCACGTCCTGTAGCGTCACCGCCCAGAAAACTGGGCACTGAGGAGTTGCAGTCCACATTTTCCTCTGGAAAAGGTCTGGTGGAGCAATTCCTGGGGTGGGAGCTGTGAAATTTCCCCCCTGGCAGGGTGGAAATGGGGCTTCTGCAGCCAGAAAAAAACCTGGCTGTGGCAAACTCACCGTGCTTTGGGGTTTCAGGGCTGGGTCTGCCCAGCCACTGTTACGTGTAATCGTCTTGGCTTAAGGGTTATTTTGGGGCTGGAAAGGGATTATGGAGAGCTGATAGGAACAGTCCTGACTGTGCTGTGTGTGAAATTATAGCAAAAAAATGGAATTCTGGTTCCCTTTGCTGGCTCTTTGGCGGAGGAAAAGGAGCGTTGCTCAGGAAGCCTGTGTGGATTTTTCTCCATTAAAAGTTACTCCGCGCACGGGGAGCGTTCAATCCGAGTGCGCCGTTCCGACGCTGGATTCTCCTCGGGATGCTCCAGCTGCCAGGAAATTTAGATTGCTGCTTATTAGCCAGCAAAACTTCGCCCAGTGCTGCTCCTTCAAGAGGTTTTTTGGGGTTTGGAGCGCACGGTGAGGCGGGAGGACTCCCTTCTCTCCCCCTTGGAAACTGCCAGCTCGCACTTGGCAGGTGTGGCTGGGGAAAAGCTGAGGTCAATGGATTTCCTGCCTTGCATTTTGTCTGGCAGGTCTGTGCTCCCCAGCCATCAGATTGCTATGGAGAGTGGTCCATTAATTCATTATACAGCCTTTATCCACCTGACAGTGATGCATCCTGAATCCTCAAACCCTGCTATGTTAACACCTTCTCCTCCTCGAAGCATCTTCCCAGTGATATCCCAGCGGTGTGTGGCTGCAGAATATTTCCCTGGGATTTAGAAGGTGCTTCTTCAGTGGCAAATTTAAAGCTGTGCTTTGGTGGCAGAGTTAATTTTAGAGTGGGTGTCTCTGGCACGCTGTACTTGTATTAAATAAGCATGTTCTGCATGTTCTGCTCTTCCCTGGGATGAATTCTGCGCTGAGTGGCGAAGCACGGCTGACGTTTGCCTCGTGTGTTGACAATGAAAATGAGCCCTGGGTGGATCAATCTGTTGGGTGTCTGGTTGTAGGTTCAGAAACTGCTGGCTCAGAATTAATGATACAAGGTTTGGGTTTTTTTGCAAGGGCAACAAATTGCTTTTATGAACTGGAAGATTCTAACGAGACACTGAGGCAGCTGCAAGGGCCAGGGACTGTTTGTTGTACTCTCCTCCATAAACTATCTGTCCATGTGTGTTTGATCTGGAGTAGCTGCCTTAAAATTGCCAGGGTTTTTCTCACTGCTCAGTGCCAGCATATTTAGGGGTTTGTTGGTTTTTTGTGTGGTTTTTTTAACATGTGGGTCGGAGTAACTCAGAGTTGCAAAGGGTGTTGTGGGTTGAGGTCGAGTCACAGGTGGCTCCTTCACCCTGCTGTTTGTTAGAGGCCCTTTGATGCTCACAGGTGGTGGAAGTTGGATCTGGGTGCCCTTTTACCAGACACACCTGGGGGCAATATTGTCCTTTAACTCTTCTTTGTGAGCCCTCCCGAGGGTGAGGATGAAAGGGAACGGCTTCACCTTTGAAATCCTCCTGGCGTTGTGCTCCGGGTTTGTGCCACCCCGGGAAGGTGTGGTTATCACCGACAGCGAGAGTCAAGGGGCTGGTCAGGGTAGGGCTCCTCCTGAGAGCAGCTTTCCTACAAATACGGGGTGTAAGAATATGCTTTCCCCTGGTTTGAAACTCCTTTTTCTTGAGATTTTGCAGCCATGGGGGTTGGGCTCCTCTCCCACAGCCCTGGAATGAGGTGCTTTGCACCCTCCTGCTGGTATTCCCAGATTTACAGAATGGTTTGGGTTGGAAGGGACCTTCAAACTCCTCCAGCTCCAACCCCGTGCCCCGGGCAGGGACATCTCCCATCAGACCAGGTTGCTCCAAGCCCGCTGATGAAGAGATGGGATCCACCTGGCAGCCACTTTGCCGTGGCCATAAAGAGGCTTTGTTAATTAGCAGCAGCTGCTAATTAAGCTTCAAGGAGCCTAAACAGGGGTGGTTCACCTTCGTGTTGGAGCCCAGGTAGTGCTGTCGGTGCGGGGAGGCTGCGGCTGCCCCGGGCTTTGCTGGTGCCGGCTGGAGCTGCTGTGGGGTGAGTGGTGTCTCAGCTTCTCCCTCTGTTTGGGGCTTTGCTCAGGGCTGTTCCTCCCCACAATCCTCCTGCTGGGCTGGCTGTGGAGCCGAGCGGTCCCCTCTGCTCAGGAGAGGGCAGTGTCACACCGAGAGCCGCTTCTTTTGTCCATGCTGAGCAACACAGGGAGGTGACAACTTTCCTTCCCCCTCCCAGGGGTCCGGGAGGGTCTCGACACCCGAGCGTGTGAGGCTCGGGCACCTCATCCCTCTGCCTCCTTCCCCAAACCCCATATCCCCCCCTCCAGGTCTGCTCCCGGTGTTTGATGTACCTTTGTGGGAATATTCTGAGCGTGATGCTGGGAAAGGGGATTTAAGAGACTGTTTACAGCAGCTGCTTTTGCCTCCCAGCCCCTCTATAAACAGCGATTAGACGCAGCTACTTTCATGCGTGGCTTGACTTTCAAAAACAAAATAAAATTAAAAAAAAGAAAGAAGCTGCACGTCGGTGTTTGGCTTTGCTGCTTTTTCCTCTTGAGTTAACCACTGTGTTCTCCCCACTTCCTCCAAAAATACCCACAGACACTGGCAGGACAACTGCCTGAATGTTTGGTGAAATAGTCTGTCGTTGCTCAACAGCCTGAAAGGAAAAAAAGCAGCCCGATTTTTTTGTTTGTTTACTTTATATGCAATTAAATATTTGTAGAAGATTCTACCAGGGAGTGGTTTCAAGGTGCAGAGCGTTCCCCTGAAGGGTGTTCAAGCAAGGACCTTCTCGGGTGGCAATTGGGATGTTTTCACCCGTGGAACCCATTCCAGGTCATGACTGGAATTTTTTGCCCTCTTGGGCGTTGGGCAGGATCAGCTTTATAAAAAATGTTTCTTTCTGTGATTATCTTTTTCTCACTGACGTTCTTTCTCTTTTGTGTGTGTGTGTTTCTTGATCCAGGTATTGCTGAAGTTTGGGTTTTTCCCCCTGGATGAAGGGTGGGTTGGGGACAGGAGAGGGGGAGATTGTACCTTTGCTGGGGTGATGCACAAATCTGGGAACCAGCTCCATCCCCAGGCTCCCCCATCCCAGCAGAGCCCTGCTGGTGGCTCATCTCCTCCTTGGAAATAGCTGGGACTGCTTTTAGTACAACTCCTTAGTCATGACCAATTGAATCCTCCTGCCCTTTGTCCCCTGTGTCCTCTGTGTTGGAGCCAGGCTTTCTGTGAGGTGTTTGGGATGCAGGAGGACTTGGAGGTGATGGACTGGAAGTTTATTCTCTTCTTGTCTGGGACTGCTCCAAAGGATCTGTTTCACTGTGTTAAGCAGCTTTTTATCCTCCGCTTCTCCCCTTCGGAGTGAGCTCGCCTTTAATTTTTATTTATTTATTTAAAACCTGCTTCCCTTAAAACTCTGCTGCAGCTTGTAAAATCTCTTCATAAATATCTGGCTGCTGTGTTTTGCTTCCCTTTCCTCCTCCTGGCTGAGGTGAAACGAAACTTGTCTCTCCCCCAGCTCGGGTTTAGATGCTCAGAGCAGAAATATTCTGGTTTTAGTTTCAGGCTCACATTTGCACAGGTTGCTCAGGGAAAGCATTTTGCATCTGACTGAAATAGTACAAGGTGAAAACCAGTTTCCTCCAAGAGGTATTTTTGGGTTGTAGCCTTTAAAAAGATATAATGGACTGGTTGTGCCCTTCAAAGGGTTCTGAGCCGCTCTAATAGATTATATTTTGGGCCACTTATTGATGGATCCCTGGAGCTGACAGTCACCAAATCATAAATCAAATCTAAAATCAAGTCAGGGTGCTGGTTGCCTGATGCAATTGCAGCAAAACAAATAAAGTGCAGTCGATTTTCAGGCTTGGAGGTGGCTCCAGAGGTTGGCAGTTGGTGCCTGAAGGTCACGGGGTGATG